AGTTTTTTAGGTCCTTAGATTCAAAACTACATTGGTTCCTTTCTTTCCTCTTTGCTGTGATTCTGGTTCATTTGTGATACAGTTCGATTCATCATTATAGTCTGCTTTCTTTCCTCCCACACACATCCTGGTTGATTTTTTTTAAATTTACATATTTTAAAATTCAATCTTTTTGGTATACAGCTCTGTGGGTTTTGACAAATGTCATGTATCCGGGGGCTGGGGATGTGGCTCAAGCGGTAGCGCGCTCGCCTGGCATGCGTGCGGCCTGGGTTCGATCCCCAGCACCACATACCAACAAAGATGTTGTGTCCACCGAAAACTAAATATTAAAAATTCTCTCTCTCTCTCTCTCTCTCTCTCTCTCTCTCTCTCTCTCTCTCTCCTCTCTCCTCTCTCACTCTCTCTTTTTAAAAAAAAAAAAAAAATGTCATGTATCCACCACCAGTGCTACACAGAACATTTTCCATCCACCCTAAAAATTCACTTGTGATAGCCCTTTGTACATATACATCTCCTTCCCAAACTCCTTGTTATCACTGATTTGTTCTCCGTCTTTAATTTTCCCTTTGCCATAGAGTCATATAAATGAAATCATGCAACATGTAGCCTTTTACTTGGTAAAATGCATTTTTTAACCCATATTGTGTGAATCAGTATTTCTTTCCTTTTTTTATTGCCCAGTAGTAGTCTATTATATAATGGAATTTGCCCACTGAAAGACTTTTAGGTTATCTGCAGTTTGGCTGTTTGTGAACCTTATACACATTTGCATATATATTTTTATATAAGTTTAAGTATTCTCTATAATTTTATATGCCTACTGGTGGGAGTTCCAATTGTATTCCCCACACACAAACACTTGGAAATTTTGTTGTTTTAGGCATTCCTTTCTTTCTTTCTTTCTTCTTCTTCTTTTTTTTTTTTTTTCCTTTTTCCTGGTACTGGAGATTGAACCAAGTACCTAGTGCATGATAGGCCAGCAAACTACATCCCCATCCATTTTTATTTTGTGACAGGGTCTCACTACATTGCCCAGGCGGTCCTGAAACTTGGAAATCCTCCTGCCTCAGCCTCCTGAGTAGCTAGGATTACAGGCAAGTGCTGCCATACCTGGCTATTTTAGCCATTCTAATGGGTGCCTAGTGGCATTTGTTATATTGCTAATATCTTGCTGAGGATTTTTGCATCTATATTTATGAAGGATATTGGTCCATAGTTTTATTGCTCTTCATCTGATTTTACAACTACAGAGTAATGCTGAACACATAAAATGAATCTCCTTTTTCCTGGAAAAAAAAAAAAAACATGTAGAATTGGTTGTGTATATTATAATTATTATTAAATATTTTTAAGTTATAGATGGACACAATAACTTTATTTTATTTATTTTTATGTGGTGCTGAGGATTGAACTCAGTGCCCCACATGTGCTAGGCAAGTGCTGTACCACTGAGCTATAACCCCAGCCCAAGATTTTATTCTTTAATTGGTAAAATTTACCAGTGTGATCATCTGAAAGGAGCTTTCTTTTTCTTAGATGTGTTTTTTTTTTTTTTTTTTTGTTGGTGGTGGGTAGTACCACGGATTGAACTCAGGGGCACTCAACCACTGTGCCATATCCCCAGCCCTATTTTGTATTTTATCTGGAGACAGGGTCTGAGTTGCTTAGCGCCTCGCTTTTGCTGAGGCTGGCTTTGAACTCGAAGTCCTCTTGTCTAAGCCTCCTGATCCCTGGGATTACAGGTGTGTACCCTGCAGTTGTGGGGATTTTAGTATTTATCTAAGCTTCTTGGATCTATGGTTTAATGTGTGTCATTAATTATGCGTATGTCACACTGATGTTTGTACACAGCTCCTGTGTACTTGTTCTGTTCTGGGTTTATTTTGTTCTGGTGTTTCCTTCACTCTTAATGTGTTGTATGTCAGTGAGGGTACTTTTTGTTGACTTACTTCAGGTTTACTAGTTCTCCTCTCATCACCACAGAATTTACTGATGAGCCAATCAGATGTACTCATCATTACAGTTATGGTGGAGTTTTGTTTTTAACATTTCTATTTAATTATAATTTCCATCTCTTTGCTGACATCACACACATAATCTTACATGTTGGCCACTGCTTTCCTTAACATTAATCAAATTTAAGTAAAATTCTTGCTCGAGCTAGGGGTATAGCTCAGAACTGGAGCATTACCTAGCATGTGCAAGGCCCTGGGTTTGCTTCCTAGCACTGGCCTTAAAAACAAAAACAAACTTGGTTCCAAATTGTCTGGTTTCTAATGATTGCTTCATCTCTTCCAAGTGCAATTTTTCCTTGCCTTTTCACATGCCTCAGTGTATTTTGTTAAAAGCAATCCATGTTAAACAGAAGATTAGATGCTTTGTGGATATTTATGACTGAAAGTGAGCAGGACTTTTCTGCTGCTTAGACCTTCATTGCAGAGATTATCTAGTTAGGAGTTTGGCTCAAGGCTTGCTGTTGCTATGATTGACCCTAGTGATTATTTCAGGTTCCTATTGCAATATCTGGTTTTGCTGATGGGGGTTGAATTGGCAGGGCAGTCTCTCCCCTAAGCATATAACTTCTATTTGTACCCTTTCAGAGGGTCTGTTTTTGTTGGGGACTATAAGGTTCAAGTCTAGCACTTTGCATATGTTAAGCACTTGCTTTACTACTGAGCTAAACCTCTAGCTCCTTTATGCTTCTGGTGATCTCTCATCCTTGTACCAGAAATATTGTGCTGTTATTTGAAGACTGACTGGGGCTGACATTCTCAGATTAAGCTGCAGTTTTAGACACTAGGTTTGGACCGACAGGGCCTTTTCAGTTTACTTGCCCCTTCCCAGCTAGTTGTAGGCCCAGTGACATTGCTGTCCCTACCCTGTTGCCTTCCCTCACCTCCAGGAACTAGCCACCAGTGCCCTAAGTGAAGCAGTATTTCCTCCTCCAAAAGAAGAGCACTTCTGTTTCATAGAGGAGATAGGGGGGACAGATCTGAACCTTTCCACAAGGTTGTTGTATACCTCTTTTGGGTCTGCACCACAGTTAACTCTTATTAGGGCTCTTTCCAGTCTTTTTTCTGTGAACACTTAGTAGAGTTTGTGAAGAAAAAGCCTGAAGAGAGGGCTTTTTCTCTAGGCCCCCAGGACTCCACACTCTTTCCAGCCCATACTCTGCCTTTACCAGTTGTCATGTTAGCTCATAGCTACCCTAGGGAAACTAGTGCTCCACTGCCCCTGTAAGAGCCTGTCAACTTTAGGCCAGTTGATTATTCTTCAACCTCAATTTTCCAGTGTTCAAAAAGTCATAATTTGCAGTTAATCTGGCTGTTTTTCATTGTAGGAATGGAAGCAGTGTTGTTCCTTCTAGCTCTACATCAGAGCAGAAGCTGAAAGTAGGTAAAAAAAAAAAAAAAAAAAAGGTGAAGTACATGTTGAAGTAAAGACATTTTAATTTTAAAACTGTAATTCGAAAACAGGCCATTTTTATCCAAATTCTTTTTAAATTTAAAGAGGTGATTTGTTGAAAGTTTAGAAAATAGGGTGCCGAGCATAGTAGTGCACATCTATAATACCAGGCTGAGGCAGGATTGCAAGTTCAATGCTAGCCTTAGGGTCTCGCTAATAAAACATAAAAAGGGCTGGGGATGTGGCGTGGTCAGGTACCCCTGGGTACCAAAAATAAAAAAGGAAAAAAAGTATGTTTGGAAAATAGAAAACTCCAAGAGCATATACTTTTAGTCCGGATTTATAGAAGTTTTAAAACTCTAATCGGGAGGCCTAAGAGAACATGGTAACATCAGCCATCTATAGTTTGAGACACATATTATGGACTGAGCTGTTTCTCAGAACAGATCAGACACATTTATAGTGACTGCTCCTTCTGTTCCTGCTCTGCCCAGCTAGAGTGCTGGCCCAAGACCTGCAGCACTGGTAATGTCTCCTAATGTCCTTTTGAAAGGGCTGCTCCCTGGGCTTGTCTCTCTGTTTGTTTTGTTCTTCTTGATTAGTCTATTACAACTCTACTTGGCTTAGTTGCTCAGCCCTTATGCTCTAGCAAATGTCATCCCGAGTAATGACTGGCAGGGACTTTTTCATCTGTCCATCTACTCATTTGGAAAATTGTTTCTCTAAATGTGAATCATTCTGGACATTTTTCACATCCGTTTCCCTGGTTCTAAATCAGGATCAGAAGAATTAGAACCTATGAGGGGCCCTGCTTGCACCATGAGGGTAGGGGCACATCTTACCTGGAGGTTCCATGACTGGAGCTGAATCCTTCAGCTTGGCATGAGAGGCTAGCCAAACCAAGCTGCTCAGTGAAAAGCACTTTTTTGAGTCTTGGGAAAGAAACCCATTTGTTTGAAGTACAGTTCAGTTTAGTAAAAACTAATAGATGGCGCGGGGCTGGGAGTGTAGTGGTATAGAGTGTACTTAGTGTGCAAAAAAAGGCCCTGGTTTCAATCCCCAGCACCAAAAAATAATTTTTTTTTTTAACCTTTATTTTGTTTTTATGAGGTGTTGAAGATTTTTACCACTGAGCTACAACCCCAGCTCCCCATTTTTTTTAACGGTGCTATGACATGCTAAGCATCTTCTTTGAAATCTCTCTTTCAAAAATTTTTTTTTTCTGTACATGAAGTCATGCTAAGGACTGAGTTAATTTAGGAAATTAGTGTTCTCACCATTAAGGCTTTCAAATTTCACAGTGTGTTAACTAGGTTTATCCATTTCCTTAGATGCAGTTGAACCCCCACATTTGTCTCCAGAAAACCTCCATATTCAACCGAATAACTCATTAGATTCTTTTGCTTCACTTTGCCCATGCCCATTTAGTTTGAAACTACACTCAAGGATAATACGCAAAGCGTTCCCCATTCCACTGTTAATGTCCCTAATTAAGGCTTTCCCAGGATGCTTCCCCCCAAACCCCAATTTGTGTAATTTAAGTATTATATAATTTAGCTTTCTTTTAAAGAAAAAAAAGACAAATGACTTAGTGATTTTAAATTGCTGGGTTTTATTAAGATATTGGCAAAATTTCAAACATTCTTTACCTGAATGAACAGTTTGAATAAATAAAATATGAGAAGGATCACTCATGATTACAACTGAACTCAAAAGTGATCTGTACAGCAGGTTTGTAAATTGATAAATTTACTTGATAAGAAATATTCACTTCACTCCATAAAGAATTCTTTGCAGAGAAAAAGAGAAAGCCTGTCTCTCACCAAAGAGCACCTAGAGAGTTAACAATGATGTATTTGGATTATTTAATACATCAAAGTTAATTTGAAGTATTTCCTTTTCAATAGTAACTGCTATATCAGTCTGGAGTTCCCTGTCCTATTTCATTTTGTTTTTCTAATTAGTAGAATAAATATAGTCTTCAGAATACATAAGATGCTGCTGGAGGAAGTAATTATTTTTTCAGTACAGTACCATATGTCTGGAAGATAGCTGTGTTGTAATACTGGCAGTATTTAATCTTTTCACAGGTCATGCTAATTTATGATCCAAAGAAAAATTTGTCCCATGATAAGGTTGAACTAAATTGTAGTATCTCCCCTTCTATGGCTTGAAAATGCTCATTGAGTGAACAAATTTTTAAAAATTAAAATAATTGAGGGCTGGGGATGTAGCTAGCTCAGTTGGCAGAGTGCTTGCCTCTCATGTACAAGGCCCTGGGTTCAATCCCCAGCACCACACAAAAAATTGAGATCATTTTCTCATAAATTCTCGGCAAGTACTTGGGGAAAGAAGTACTTGACTACAGCAGTCTTATCTGAAAATGGGTCATTTTCATCTGCCCATTGGATGTTGTACTTCTTACTGGCACAGTGTTCCAACAATGGAGTGTGGTTGTCATGAAAATGCAGTGTTGATGCTATACCACTATAAATGTGGTCAGAATTAGACTCAGTGTTGACATTGACATGATTGACATTGTCCTTGGTTAAGGTGTTAACTTTCAAGGAACTCTAGTCGATTTATTTCAAGGACAATGGATGGCACTTCTAGGTAAAGAAAAGGTATATACATGTGTTTCTACCTGACCCCTGTAGTACAGACCTAAATGGGATTAATAGCCCCAAGTATTTGGTGCTGTAATGTTGCCTAACCTCAGATATCCCTCAAAAGTACACATCTAGAAAGTGAAAAAGGAAACCTTTAAATTAGGGACTGACGCCCCTTGAAACTCACAGTGAATGTACAAGGAGTTTATAATAACTTCAGATGGTGACTTGAAGTCTGTTTCCCTAACCAGTAGTACACTTTTCTTGTTTATATTTGTTTTTGTTTTTACTATTTCCTATTCTAACAAAACTTGTTTAGCAGGCAAACAAATTGATGCAGATCATGGTAAGTTGAAAAAGGGATACTGCCACTCTTTATGGAGTGTAGAACGTTCACCACCACTAAATTACACGATGAGTAAAGGTACAAAACACATAATTCAGACTATACCTCAGCATTAACAGTTAAGTGTATATTATACTTTTATATCTATTATTTTTACAATCACCAGATACACCATCATTAAATACAAGTTACAGAAATGTATAGATACCATTAGTTAGAGGGTTACTTATTGCTTACGTTAGCAAGCAGCAAATAAGGGCACAGGATTTGAACTGAAGGGAGCTACTTTCCATCACCAGTGGCATTAATATTAACACTGCATTTCACAAAGCACTGCTTTTTATCTACTGTATAGAACCAAGAGCAGCATATATCAGACCAATATCAGACCAATAACCACTACTTTTTATAATATGTTATAGAATTTTAAAGGACTTACCTTACAAATGGTACCTAACTACCCTATGATTACGAGTATTGTGAACAAATGAATAGTTGCTATTTTTTACAATATTGGTTTATTGACCACACTAGAACTACTTTTCTGTTTTCTAGAGAGAGCTAATGATATGAGAAATGGAGTTAACACTGCTATATAGTCAGACCTACAAAACCCAGACCTTTAAAAATGTGTCTGTTTGTCCCAGTTCCATCCAACCATCTTTTTCCTCACTAAAAAAGCTTATCATTGTAACTTCTTCCCAAAAGAGACAACTATAGAAAGTTCTTTTAAAAAAAGGCATTTTGGACTATAATGTAAACCAATATTCTGCTGCCTGTGTTTTGTTTCCTTAGATAATCTGATTTGAAACTGAGACTGCATGTCAACATGATCTAGGCTTCAGAAAATGATATAAGTGAGGTACATGTATGGGGCAAAGCATCAGAATGATGAAAATTTGTAATATATATAGCTGGAGACGTTACTTATTCTCTTCTTTTCAACCATGTGTCACAAGACTGAGGAAAGAATAAATTACTTCAAAGTCAAGAGAAAACAAATAATGAAAATCTCTACTTAACATCCAAATTTTAAAAAATAAAATCTGTAGATTAACAATCTGATTGTTGCTAAAGTGTTTTTTTTTTTGTCGTTTTGTTGTTGCTAATTACTTGATATAGATACTGGCCCCTGTAATATGCTATAGTCATCTGTGTCTTTGACTTATATCTATGTTATGGAATTGTAGTTCTATGTTATGGAATTGTAGTCCTACTCCCTGGGTCTAGGGAACATAAACCAATTTTATCAGCATGTAAAAACATAATTAGATGGTGGACAGTTGGTACATCCAGCTTGCATGAGCGATCAGTCAGTACAGCAGGGCTACTCCTTTCTGTGGGCATGGCTGCTGGTCCCTAGTCAACTAGGAAAGGGCAACTGGGGGACTCCATGGTTCTGAGAGAATAAGAGGGTGCTGTCTTTTACTGGCTTAAAACTGCAGAAATAGCAAAACTGTCAAATAGAACTAAATATTGAAATAAGCGCACATCCTGTCCCTGCAGTATGAAGTTGCATGTACCTTGTTTCTATTGGCTCATATCTTCCAATTGTAACTACACAGACCTGGCTCAGTAATCTGCATCTTCCTTTGCATTTGGCATCTGTGTTCACTTTAGGCAGTACTTTCAGCTTCCTGCTACCAATTACTTCATTCCCTTGGGAAAAACAATATTAGAGAAGTAAAAATGGGCATTTTTCATTCTCCAAAGCCACTTTTTATATATTATTGTAGTACATATCTTTGCTATGTGTGAACTTCAAAAAAAAATGGTATTTAACTTTCTTTTTAAATGGCATTTTGATTCTTGTGTATGTTTGTACCTGACATCATCTCTATTAAACCAGTTTTATTCCTGAGATGAGGGTACAGTGAAAACACATTAGCATCATAGATTAAAACCAGCTGACAGCGGTCTCATAAAATGACAAATAAAAATTCCACCAAAAGCACCATAACAGGTTATGAAACTCCCAAGTAACTGCTGCCCTAGGAAATATTTGATTCAAAAAGTTTTGTTACAGAGAAAAAAAAAGTCAATAAATCTTTGACTGTATACTGCCTCAAAAGCCTGAGAATATGACACTTTTACACTAGTTTTCCACTTTCATCATTACCAGTTAAAACACATATGGCTTTTAGCCTTTCACCTGCCAAAAAAAAAAAAAGGTTGGGGGGATCTTTCTTAGTCCCCAGGATCTTGAGAGATGGTTCCCAATTTAGTTCTTCATTGTTCTCTGTAAGTAGATTAGGCACATCAGACCAGATTTCAACTGAGTTGAGATTCAACACTATATATTTCAATATATCCTGACTGAAATAACTTTCAAGTTTCCACTAGTGACGTGAAGGGGTGCTGGAGAGGGGACGTATGTAGGTGTAGAGACACATCACAGGGACCAGTTGTATAATTTTGCTAGTGAAACTGCCAATACTTTTTTTTTTAGATTGAAAACACTGTAATTTGAGTTTCCTAGAGATCTATTTACATTTAAGAATTGAGCCATCCATGGATTCATACTGAAGCACATGTGTTTAGAAATGTCTACCTTGTTTCTACTCTGATAATGTTTTTAATTGAGGGATAGCTAGCTAGCCTACTTTAAAGAAAACGTATTATATTTTATGGCTCCAGAGAAGATCTGCATATGGAATATCATTACCCTTTCTGACCTTTCTCATTGTATTTTCACTATACCCTTTCCAACTATTTTCCCTCCATGGCACATAACTTCTTAACATCCTGTTTCTCTTCCCACTTCGAATAAGTGTGGACAGGCTGATGCCCATTTTGTGGGAAGGCTCTCGAGCAGAGAGAAATGAATAAAACTTTGGATTGAACCTGAATCCGTGCCACCTCTTGAAGTAGTAGTGGCGTAAATGATACAATCTAGAAACTCTTTTTCCCAGGTATTTGAACTGTTCACTTTCCAACCCAGAACAGACAAGAGCCAAGCTCTCCATTCTGTATATCTGCTGCCCTGGAAACTCTCCAGCACCATTCCGTTCAGGCAATGATGATCGAACTGATTTTTCCTTCATTATTAGCTCATTAATAAGATTTGCTTGCTTTGGTGCACCAAGACCAAACATCTCAACTGATGGCAAAATCTGGGCACTGTGAGGTTTGGTTGCTTCTATTTGTGTGAGATCTAGGTAGCCTGGGTCTTCCAGCACGTTGATTTGGGACCCTGGGCTCAGGCTAGTTCTATCAGTGAATGAATCCACACGCCCATCATAGCCTAGATCGGCTGGTGCTGAGCACTGGTGCTGAGGCCAAGGGCGTTTGCACTCTCCATGATTCTCCTTATCATCCCCACCATCTTCTTGCCCTCCTTGAAAAGAGTTCTCTGTCCAATCTGATTCCTCACTAACATTTACAGCTTTGTTCATGTCCCTCAGGAATACCACAATAACAGTGATGTTATCACTTGACCCAGCATCACGAGCTGATGCCACTAATTTGTGGGCAACCATACTGCTGTCTCCATTGTTCTCTTTCAGGTGGTCAGACACAACTTTCACTGCCTCATCAGGATTCACAGTATCATAGAAGCCATCACAGGCCAGAATGAGGTAGTCTTCTGTCCCATCCAAAACAGTAGAGGCAGAATCTGCATCCCCACAGATATATGGCTTGTGTTCAGCATCTCCTGTGGGAATTAAAAAGTGGGACCATCAGAAAGCAGACATCTGATCATATTTTTTTTTAATAGAAAGTGGACAGGGGAGGTATAAGGAAAGCAAAAGATGGAAAACAATAGCTAAAAAGTGTCTTGAACCCAGGATGCTTTACAACTGAGCAATGTCCCCAGCCCTTTTTAATTTTGAGGGAGGGTCTCACTACATTGCTGAGGCTGGCTTTGAACTTGAGATCCTCCTCCATCAGCCACCCCAGTCACTGGGATTGCAGGTATGTCACCATATGCAGCACCCTCTGGGATTTAATGAAACTAATTTATCACATAACTTTAGATAAAAATTTCTGTTAATCAGATTCTGCTTATGGTTTCATCCCAGTTAAAAATTTGCCAGTCACTGAGCTTTATTCCTTATCTAGTTTATACTCTGAATCTTGTGTTCTGGCTATTATTTAGGATTTGCTGAGTATGGCAGCAACTAATATTAAATCTAAGTTTGTTGCTGTACTGAGAAATTCAGTCCTTGTTGACTTAGTAGATCAGTTTTTTACGATCAGTTTTTTACTGATGGTTAGGTTTAATTAAACTGTGACTTGAAAAACAAGTCTACAGTGAAAAAAATAAAACCAAAGTTCTGATCATTCTCTTCATTAAACAATTTTTGTTCTATTCTTATTTATAAATCAATAAATAGCTTCATGTTGTGAGCATAGAGAAAGGTCTGAGTTACAAGGGATTTTGAAATTCAAGTGTGGCTCCCTCAAGCCAGGCCTCACACAGGGAACCTGAATGCATGTCTCCTGGTTCCAAGTCCGCCTGGATTTCTAGTTTGTAATGCTGCTTTATTTGACTTCCAGAGAACACACACAAAATATACAACCATTTTTCTCTTCAAATTACCATGTTCTTGCTTTCTTCATATATCTCTGATTACCCCCCTCTATTTTTATTGTTAATCCCCCTACTTCTTAACAACTGTGACACTATGCACCGCCCCCAGTCCCCAAGGCCCTACTGGGCCTTCCTTTCTTGCCTTGCTTAGTTCATTTACTCACAGAATGAATTTTGAGCTAAGCCTTGAAGAATATGTTAGTTATCACTAGGCATTTTTCCCCCTTGCTTGCGGGAATAGCATAAGCAAAGACACAGGTAAATGTTGGGGAGTAATGTGTACATAGATAAACTAGAGACCTTGGGCCCATGTTTCTATCACCATATTACTGAGATCACCTACATAGTCTTTGGTGCTGGGCATGGTGATGCACGCCTGTAATCCCAGCTACTCAGGAGGCTAAGGTAGGAGAATCTCAAGTTTTAAGGCCAGATTCTATAACTTTAGTTACACCCTCTCTCAAAACAAAAAATAAAAAGGGCTAGGGATGTAGCTCAGTGGTAGAACCCCTAGATTCAATCCTCAGTACCACAAAAAAGAAGCCTTTGGAACTTTGAGGTTTAGAGCACTAGCCAGCTCCATTCATTGTTTACCTTTGTTGTTTTTCTATAGTTTAGAGCCTACCTGGTGTCCTCAACCTCTCTGTGCTAGAAAATAGAGTGGCACATAACTTAGTGGTTAAGAACACCAACAATGGTGTCTAAACTGCCTGGCTCCTAATTCTAGCTCTTCCAATTAGTAATTATACAACTCATTAATTACTGTCTTTTCCATTGCACTAGAATAAACTTTCTGACTAGGGGAAGATAAAATGAAGATAACTATACTTAAGTGACCTGGCTATGTATTCATTGTTCTTCATATCTGTTATAGGTTCTCTCTTGCTCAAAAAGATTCCTTTCCAACATTTTACATTTTTGTTTAATCCTTAAGTAGGTCCAGAAAGTGCAACAAAAACCTCGTGGATGACTCCTGGAACCAATGTAGTCAATATGCTCTACCTGTCCAGTAGTGGCATGGCTGGATATAAGAAAAACAGACAAATTACTTAAAATAAGATCCTAGTCTTTTTATCTTATAAATGCTCAGCTTCACCACTTCTAGACTCCAGTGTGTAACTCCCTCACATCCTACTCCATGTCATGGCTCTTCTCCATTATTTCTTTACAGTATAGTCAAAAACATCTTTCTCAAGCACAGTTTTGATTTTACCAGTTTCACTTTTCTTTTTTTTTTTTTTTGGTACTGAGACTGGCCTTGAACTTGAGATCCTCCTGCCTCAGCCTTCCAAGCCACTGGGAATATAGGCATGTACCACTGCACCCAGCCAGTTTCACTTGTTTACTGTATTGCCTGTTAAGAGCTAATTGAGATTTCCAGTCATTGTTTTCACTGTCCTTCACTAGTCCACTTAATTTCTCCACTGCACCTGACTGAATTACCATGATTTTTTTAAAATTCCACCTCTAAAAATAAATGTGATCTGAGTCAAACTGTTCCCCAAAATCTTGTTTTAGTACTACAATTAAAAGACTACTGCAACTGTTAGTTTGGAACAGAACATACAAAGATTTGCACAGAGAAAATGCTGCCAAAATTCTGGATTTTCACCTGCTCTACTGTTGGGTGTCAAATTCATGACATTTCGCCCCCAAATTTGGTAGGAGGGCATGAACATCCATCTCATGGTAGAAATGACAACATCCTTTGTCTTCAAACCTCTCCATCTGCTAGGAAACATACCGTGCCTCTGTCAACTTTGGATCATAAATCTGAAGGGCTCATAGAGAGAAACAATAGAAAAGCTTATCGTTTATATTTTCTAAGTAGAAGTAAACCCTGCTCCTTAGCACTTTCACTTTTCCCTCCTTATTTAGCCCTTGTTTTATTCTATGAGTTTTCAAAATCTTTCTCAGATTCTTCAATTCCATAAATCCAATAAGCTACTGGATTTTGGTAGATGGACTTTTTTTTTCCTTTTCATTTTTTGATCCCATGGATTGAACCCAGGGACACTTAGCCACATACCCAGCCCTTTTTAAATCTTGAGATGGCCTCAGTAAGTGGCTTGGAATTTGCAATACTCCTGCCTCAGCCTCCTGAGCAAGAGATTCACCTATCTCCACTACCATTTTCTCAGAGTCTCCTTCTCCTTTTCAGGACTAACCTGTGTGCTGGTGCTGCCTCCCTAGGTTTCTGGCTACTTACTTTCTCATTTTTACTCTGTTTACTCTTTTTTTTTCCCCCTATGAACAGGCTCAAATCTAAAATGTCTTCATCCTAAAAACAGAAGCAGTGGCAGCATCCCTTCCCAAATCAGTTTCACCCCTCAAGCCACCACACTGTTTCTTATCTCCCTGCTCACTATCAAACTGCCCAAGTAACTAGATCTATACTGGCTCCCTTGAAATTTTTGCCTGTTTCCCCTTCCCTGATTGTTTTTTGAACCTGATGATAAGTTTTTCCACCTACCAATCTAAACTGTTTTTTTCAGATATCACCAATTATTTTCAAATATTAAATCCAGATCATTTTTAAACTCACTTCTCACTTGACCTCTACAGTACTTGACACTGCTGACTGCTATCTTGTAGAAATCATCTTTTTCTAGCATCTTTAATATCCTACTTATGTCTCTGTTCACTTCTTGATTGTCTTCACTGAGTTGTTAACAACAGTGCTAACAATCACTGTATGCTAAGAATGTGCCAGGCTGGTTCTAAGTATGGTGCCTGTGCTACATCATTCAATATAAAAATTTCAGGAGCTAGGTATTATTTAATTATTGACATTTTACAAAGGAGCAGATAGATACAGAAATTTTCCAAGATCCACAGGTTGTAAAGTAGCAGTGAAGATACAAACCCAGGAAACCTGACCATGCAATTCTACCTTCAGTAATGAGCCTCATCTTGGGGTCTTCACACAACATATATTTCTTGGACAGTTGTCATCCATGCCTATAGTTTAAGCTATTTGTTTTTATACAATGACAGTGATTGTTAATATCATCACTTAAAATGGGATGAGTTCCCAAAGCTCTATCTCCAACTTAGAACTCTCAGCTAAACTCCAGATCTGTATTTCTAACTGCATACTAATTCTCATCCGAGTTATCCCCATAGTTACCTATAATATAAAATGTATCCAAACTCATTATCTGTTTATCCCCACCACCAAACTGCTGCTTTTAACAAATGTTCTATCTTTCCAGTCACAAGCAGAATCCTGGAAATTAGCTTTCCTCTTCCCCACAGCCTCCCAGTCTGTCTCCCTCCTCCATATCCTCAGCCTCCTGAGTAACTTCCCTGCTAGGCTCTTGCTATTCTAATCCATCTTCTGTACTATAACAGCATATATCTTTATAAATAAAAACCTTATCATGTGGCCCCTCTGCTTATTCTCCTGGTAGAGTCCAGACTACTTAGCCTCGGCTATAAAGCCCTTCACATTTGGCAACAACACTTCTAATCTTTTACCGCTCTCCGTCTCTGTTCCAGCCTCCTGTGTTTGTTGCTATTCTTAAAACCCATCATACCCTTTCAAACTCCCAGGTATTTATAGTCCTCTCTGTACCTGGGATTTCCTTTCCTAAACCCTACCCTCCATCCAACTCAAAAGTCACTTCCTCCATGACGTTTACCTTCTTAGATCGTCATTTTGTCAAGGACACTCTTCCCCTACTTTAGTTTCATCTTGTGTTTTATTTTTAGAATTAAGAAAGGGCAGGTATCCTCTCTAGTATATCGGTTCTATAACAAGCACTAAAGATACCCCTCAATCTTCTGACAAAGGCAAAATCAAGAAGCCACCTTTGGTTACAGTTGTCAAAAATAATTCTATATAGGAGTGTATTTTAGAAATGAGAATTTTGGCCTTATTCCAGAGGTCTTATTAATTCCCCCATTATAAGGTAAAAGTAACTCAGTTTTTCAGGAGGTATTTGTAGAATCTTTTAGCTCTATTTCTCTTTCAGCCTTCTGCTGCTCATATTTGGGCCACTTCACAGCTTGCCATCACCTTCCTAAAGAGTGGGAAGAACTCAAATCAGTGGTGAAACTAAATCAATCGTTTCAGATTTTCTTACTGTTCTGAAATTTTTGGGTGGTAATAACTAAGTTCAGGGATTAGATGTGAACTATCCATATTAACTCTATATCCAATTACTTCATGTCTTAGGGAGGCAGAGACTAAAAATTGCAATATATATATATCATCCATGTAGATGCATCTTGATATATTCTCTTCTAAAAACTGAGAAGTAAAGGTAAACCACAAGCCTAAAATAAAAACCCAGGGCCCAAAGTAAGACAAAGATGGAAACAGCTTTTTTTTTTTTTGGTGCTGGGATGTGGCTCAAGCGGTAGTGCACTCGTCTGGCATGCACAGGGCACTGAGTTCAATCCTCAGCACCACATTAAAAAAAATAAAGATGCTGTGTCCACCAAAAACTAAAAAATAAACATTAAAAAATTCTCTCTTAAAATAAACAAACAAATAAATAAATAAATGTAAAGCTTTCCATTCTCTGGAAAATACTGGTTAAATATGACCCAAAATGGAATGAAATGAGGACCATTCCATCACCATTCTGTGATTTTAGGCAGATTTGTACACTAACAAAGGCTTCTATTTAAAGGAAAAAGCAATAAACAGATAGAACCTAGGGGTTTTTTGTTGTTTTGTTTGTGTTTTTGTTTGCACTGGGGATTGAACCCAGAGGCACTATACCACTGAGCTATATCCCCAGCCGATTTTTATTTTTGAGATAGGGTCTCACTAAGTAGCTTAGGCTGGCTTTGTGATTTTTCTGCCTCAGCCTCTAGAGTTGCTGGGATTATAAGTGTGCACCACCACACCTGGCTAAATTCATGCTTTGAATTTCTTGATATGGTCCCTGTTTTATAATGGGATTTAAGTTTACAATCAGGTTTAACTGAATCAAATAATTAAAAAGCAACTGGCAATCATTATTTTACACATATAAACACAGATAATATAAATTATTATCTCCAGTTTCCTCAGATCAGAGATAATATAAGACAGTAAGCTAGAAGAGGAGAAACAAAATTAATTTGTTTTTCCTACCTATAGCTCTGGAGACTGACAGACTTCCATTCACCCTCCAGGCACCAAACCAGACTACACAACCTCCAAGGGCCTCAATTCGCTGTTTTTCATCCTAAAGAGCAAAGCAATAAAAAGAAGCTTACTGGATATTCAGGATTGATTCATCTACTTTAATAATTAACAGTTTAAATACTCATCAGCTTCCTGAAAAGCTTCTCTTGTGGAAGATAGGCACAACTGCTGAGATTAATGGCAATAATTATAATAATTGAGTGAATCCTAATTAATAACTAGAAAACTGCCTGTATGACATGTGCTCCAATAGAACAAACCATACGTACCTCTCTGTCTGGTTTGTGTGGTTTCATTAGTTCAACAGCTTGGCCCTTTCTCACAAGCATTACCTGGGAATCACCCACCCAGGCCACATGTAGCATGTTGCCTCTGATAAAAGTCACCACTCCTGTGGTCCCACATCTTAAGCTCTGAAAATAGTTTAGATAAAACTAGAGTCAATGAAAATAGACACCAAATTTTCATTGAGAAACAATTTATAATTGAACTATTCATTTGGAAGGTAGACTATTAGGCAGTTTCACAAATACATAGCAACTCATGTTTTTCCGTGCATTTTTATATGCATGTTTGTCTTATTAACCACATACACAAATCTACCTGATGTATAATATGCAAGATAGGGGATGATTAATTCTATTTTAAATACAGATTTTTAAAAAACTGTTTGGGTTATGTGACTTATCCTGAGAGCGAGAACAGGTAATTTTAGCACACAAAACAGAGGTGAAATTCTTTTTCGTTTCATTATTGACCTACTATATGTTCAATAGGTATCCCAGCTGTACAAAGTCCCAAGATAAGGAGCCAAGAGATAGCATACATTCCCTGAAGTACTAAGGTGCTTATACCTTTGGGGGTAACATTTTTTTTAATGTGTCTACAATATTTTTAGGGGCCTTGAAACATTGCATAAAGAGTAATAGCCTGGAATTTCACTGCAACATCTACCATTATACTTAAAACCCTTGATCCTAAGATACTAAAATGATATCTCCATTTGACATGAGTCACCACCAAATGAGCATGACTTTCTGTTACTAAGGCCCTGGCCTAAATTAGAACCAATGCGTCAGGGGTGGTAAAGGGCTCCTTATATCCAATGAGAAAAACAACTTCCTTATATAGGGAAAATTTGTTATAAATCCTCACCCACCGATAAAATATCTTCCCACACAGAATGTTCACCAACTCAGCCCTCTGGAACACATGATAAAGACACTTCAATGCATATGCCCTAGAATGAACAGGAGGCTGGGCTGCTTCACAATAGGAATAGCTACTTTTCCCCAGCAGTTAGCAGCACATGGAAGCAACAAGGAGAAAAGTGACTAGTGGGACAATTTATAAATTATTGGAGATATCTATCAGTAAAACTGAGATGCTAGGACCATTGACAAACTAGGTAAACATGGTCAAAAAAAAGAGAGGGGGATAAATATGGCCATAATTTTTATAAGACAGAAGAAAAGAAATAGACTAGAGGATGAAAAAGACAAAGCAATTTGTTCAGAATGTTAAGAGCCAGCAGCTTCAAGAGAGGCAGAGCCGCACAGTGCCAGTCCTCAAGAGACTGGGAGGATATGAGGTTAACTGTTGTTAACTGTTGTTTTTCCAGCTGCACATCTGTGTGTACACCCTAGTAGTTACTGTTGTTGGATTTTCATATAAATTAAAACTTGAAGGTGGGTATAAAAATACATAATATTTCTCTTGCTTAATACAAGGAGTTTTGAATTATTAATTCATGAATTCTGAGACCCACTATTGCTTTGCAGCATAACTGTAAGATTAAAGAAATGGATTAAATGATTACCCTGATCTCCCCACAAGAGTTAATGTTTAAATCACGTGACAGGAGTGGTATTTTTGTGTAATTAGTTTAAAAAAATAGAAGGTAGTTGTCCCCCAGTTAGTCCAATATAGAATACTATACTTACGTGCCTGAATGATACTTAAAAGTTTTTACTTTTAGAGCTTAATACAGAGCCCCTGTATTTCATTCACAATTAAAAATAGATCTGATTAACCTTAGGACATGAGCCTGACTTTTCTTCCTACTAAGATCTGATCAGATCAAGGATCATCTAAGGATTCATCCTCTTCAAACAAATTTTCCAAGAGACACAGCAAAACACTGCCTACACATTTAGATCCAAACGTATGGAAGTAATTCTAGTTTCTCTTTCTTTTTTAAAACCATTGTTTTATATTCACCATATCCAGATCTTCTCAGCAATAAAGCTCAGAGAGCTTTTTGGTCCTGATATGAACCTGACAGATGATAGGAAAGAAAGGAAAGATAAAACTCTCCTGCCAGGAGCTGGAGTTGTGGCTCAGTGGAAGAGTGCTTGCTTAGCATGGATGAGGCTCTGGGTTTGATTCTCAGCACCACATATAAATAAATAAAATAAAGGTCCATCAACAACTGAAAAAAATCGCTTGCCAAATCCAGCAATGAATGAATCCAGAAAATTATAGCCTGATTGTTTCTATAGGGTATGTCATTATACCCCACTAAACTATTCCTGAAGAGGGAATTAGATTCAGAACAACTGAATCCAGCACCATGGGTCAAGAAGATATAGTTTAAATAATGTCTGCCCAGAAAGAGAAAAGTCCAAAATAGCCCTTTTAACCAAATAGAACAAGGTGAGTTCAGCTAGGACATTCATAGCTGGAATTCATGGGAAAGGGCATACCTCCCTAGCTGCCTTCTGCACAAACCGCTCATCAGTGACCCGGAAGGCCCGGCACAGAGCCTCAGCAGGATCATGGGGAAATACCTCTTGGCGTACTAAATTAACATGTAGGTGAATGGAAGCGTAAATGGCAGCATCTACTCCCCCATGGCCATCAAAAACTGCAAAGTAAGCTTGTTCTTCCTGATCCTGTTGATAGAGACACAGAACAGTTATGAATTATATACAGTGTGGTTCAAATGAATCAATCCCCAGGAAACATTGTTGTCCATCCTCCTTCTCTATGGCATTTGTCATTCAGATTTAAGGTTTTCCTTTTCTTAACATGCCTTTTCAACTGCTGAAATACCTGCAAAATTAGGACATCTGTGTTTACCCACTGAGCACTGGAACACATCATGCCCAATTAGCTCAGGCTGAAATGCCCTCTCTGTGAAAGTTGTTGTCTTGTACCATGGAAACCACCCACATACTTTGCTTCAAAATTGCTGTTACAAGTTGGTGAGGGGTGGAAGAGAGGGTATGAGGATGAATTGAGTACTTTTTTCAAAATGCTAGAGAACAATAGGAAATAATTGGCCTTTCAGCACAAGGCCAATTAATGTTCAGGTTGTTTAGAAAATATACACACAAGTTCTAAACTATAATGTCTCCTTTATAATCATTCATGGTCAGATCTAGTTTTCATAAATAGAATAGTTAGTTAGTTAACCAAACTTGAACCACATCAGATGCCCAAATGCCCTGTGGGGCTGACATCTTTGCCTTGCCCAAGAACTAAGATTTAGCTTCACATTTTCTCACAAAAGTCAACCACAAGGGGAGGCTCTTCTAAACTTTTGCTTTGTCTTAACAAAGGAAGCCTCATTCTAGATTTACATTTTGACCACTAAGTAGTTTAATTATTCATCTTTAACTCAAGTGTTTAAATCTCAGATCTATCTGACTTAGGGGATCTATGATTCATTCAAGTCTTACTGAGTCTTGAGCTCCCCTTTAGGTTAACAATAAGTATGGTTTTTATTTGCAAGTCTGTTCATTTCTCTTTCATTAGGGTCTAGGACTCTTATAGGAATTCAGGGTCTGTCATTGATTTTTAAGCAAATCATAATTTTCCCACTTGTTTTCTCATGTTCGGTAGAGTTGAGTTTGAAAGAAATATTAAAACGGGGTATATCTGTGCTTTGAAAAAGTTCTTTTTTATAAAAGTACCAAATACGAAGGTCCATAAAGCAATCTATGTCTAAAACTCATTATGACTAGTTCATTCTGCAATTTAAACAACACCATGTAGAAGGTCATTGAAGACTGACTAAACAATTGTCTTGAAAAACCATTTGTGTAGAATTTCTATCTATAAAGCAATACTCATTTTTAAACAACTCAGTATGGCACTGGAAGAAATAAAAGGGAGCTGAGTGGATTTCTTTAGAAAGTAGTGTGTACTTTTTTAGAAAACATTTATTGACATTTTCCTTATAAATATGATAATTTATGAAAATAAAGAAGTATGGGGGCTGTGGTTGTAGCTCAGTGGCAAAGCACTTGCCTAGTATACGTGAGGCACTGGGTTCGATTCTCAGCACCACATATATATATATTTTATTTATATAAAGGAAGTATGAAAAACTATCACCTATATTCCTACCACATGATTTTAAATTCTTTTTTTTTTTTATGGTGGTATTGGGGATCGAACCCAGGGCCTCACACATGCTAGACAAGAGCCATATCATTGAGCTTATACATATATTTTTTAAAAAATAAAATTAGGATCATAGTGTACATAAAATTGTATGTACTTTTTGTCATTTATACAGCTTATAAGCATCGATACTATCATTTCCTTGAATGATTTAGGTTACTTCTAATTTTTTATTATTAACATATCAATCAAGAACTCAGGATGCAGCTAGCACATGCAATCCCCAGTACCACAAAAAAATACATGTCAAACAAAATATAAAGGTAAGGCTTGCCAGGTGCAGTGGCACATGCATGTAATCCCAGCGGCTCAGGAGGCTGAGACAGGAGGATCACAGCCAGCCTCATCAATGGTGAGGTGCTAAGCAACACAGCGAGACCCTGTTTGTAAATAAAATACAAATATAGGACTGGGGATGTGTCTCAGTGGCCGAGTGCCCAATTTTAATCCTGGTACCCCCAAAAAAAAAAAAAAAAAAGGTAAGGCTTTTATGCATTTCTATTACCTTATAGTTAAAAGTGAAATTATCCTATTTGTGAAAATTCATAAAATCCTAAATACTTGTTACTAAATAGCTCCCAAAGCTTGTTTCACAATTAAAAAGGTGTTCCTTTCTGAGTTAGGCCTTTGGGCTGTTTTAAATTTAGAGGCAAAATAAAAAACCAACCAAGTAAAAAAACTAGCAATAAGATGCTCAAATCAGAATATAATATGTAAGTTGATATAATGATAAAAACATTGTTTATCACCTCGGCTTTGGGTTAGGTTTGCATGAGCATGGAATTGGAAACAGATATCAGCTAATATCTACATACGCACCAATTACCAGCCAGTCATCACTGTCAATTAGACCTTGACAGTCACTAAAAGTTATTTAACTGCTGAAGGAAGGAAATACTGTGCTTTGTGTAAATCACTACATTGTATTTTTTAAGTTATGGACTTTAGTGAAGAGGAGAGGCAAGTGACAGGCAAAGGAAACAAACCTACCTCTGTTTGCATTAACATAATACATTTAATAGAAAACGAGGAGGAAGTAATCAAGAAAATGGTTATTAAGCTGACAAGGCTCATATGGATCTCTGTCAGTCACAGAAATTCGTAAAATGTAATTCCAACTACTTTCCCATCTCAGAGACCAAGACTTTAAAAAAAAAAAAAAAATCACACAAAATCAAAAAACTGTCTCAGTTTAAATTTACTCCGTATGTTTGTGTTGCATATGGTAAGGTAGTGTTATGGGAATTAAATAGTATGTGATTATATTGTAGAAATATTTTCCCTAAAAAAACAGCTTTATTAATGTAACGGTTTCATTTTTTACTTATATGTTTATAGAACAGCTCTAGAAGCTTACACAAGAAACTGGTAACTTTCCTTGCTTCGTGGAGGGGAACTGGATAAGAGATAAGACAGATTTTATTTTCCCAATTTTGAATCATGTAAATCTATTCAAAATAGCAGTGATCCCAATTTTGAATGATTTGAACTTAATCAAAATAACAAATAGTTCCTTTTCTGTTATATAATGCAAGCACATTTATGCTACTTTGCAGTTTATCTTACTCTAACCTATAAGAGATACTATTAGAAATAAATTAATTCTTCTTTTCTAACAGGACCACCAAGGTGTTCCTTTTGTTATTTTTAAATGTCACTGACTCTCCAGAAGTACCCTTTACCTCTAAGTTGAAGAGCATATTAAAGTCAGGAATGCAGACATGTTTGTCCTCCATTTTCCTGCGCATGTTTTTGATGGCATGGATTGATGTTTCATAGTAAAGCTGGGGTCTCCTGCGGAGAGGGAAGTCTTTCACCCAGCTGCAGCAAATCTCATGTAGTTTGCTGAAGACAGAACGGGCCAATTTCACTGTCTCAATCTCTGTGAAAGAAACAGAAACCCCCAATAAAGAGCCTTGTAAAACTGCTTTTTACTTGCCTGCTTAGTAAAGACAGAAGTAGGTCACCTTAGTCAAGCTTCTTAATAGAAGAAATTCTTCCTTCTCAAGAAAAATGAAATGCTGCTTCTGAAAAGAGAAAATGACAGCCTGTCTAATAAAAAATCATCTGCCAACACTGCCACTAAAATATCCTTATGTCCTAAGGAGAAAATCTCCAGCCACGGCAGGGCCTATTATGAACTTGATTTCTCTCCCAGCCTGGGGAAATATTCTGGCTACTGTATTTACAGCACCCTTTTGGTTGACTGCTATGAGTATGACCTGGAGAAGCAAGTCTCTGAGGCTTAGAAGAATGACTAGTATGAACCCTGGTTATCCAGCTTATTGGAACGAGAAAGGCTTAGGAAAACAGCTTACAAACTACAGAATAGGAAGAATTCACCTTGAGTACCAATTTGTCTTTGTCCCTCTCCTTCTTCCAGACTTCTTTCCTTATGTACAGACCCTTAAATTCTCTGGCCCATGTAAATGATTATTTGGATCTGAATTATATATTTTTTGTTATTTCATATGTTTATTAGGATTTTAGGCAATAGTTTAATTCATTTAGCCAACAGGCTAAATTATGAGTTAAATGTTTTAGATTTCCCAAAGGGGAAAAAAAAGTACTTATATTCTGTCAGTGACAACCTGGATAGAAAAAAGGAGATAGCAATCAGAAGAGCAATACTAACAGGATTTTTCACCTTTGGTCTACCATTTCACCCTATCTCTCCACTACTTGACCCAGTGTAGGCTAGATAACTTTTACTTACTTATTGTAGTGCTTGGGGATGGAACCCCAGGGACCCTTTACCACTGAGCTATATCCTCAGTTCTTTTTTTTTTTTTTTTGAGACAGGATCTCAACTAAGTTCTTCAGACTAGTCTTGAACTTGATCCTCCTGCCTCAGCCTTCTGAGTTCCTGGGATTACAGGTGTGTGCCACCACACCTGGTATAGACTAGCTGACTTCTGAGACAGACTTGTATCCCTCAGTAGACTGTTGAATGCATAAACATTTTAACCACACTAAATGGTATACTAAAGAGATCATATCACATCATTTAACCATCCAGTCAAGTTGCAGCTATTGGAATAATCAAGAGGCAATTAGATTTTCTCAGGTCAGTATTTTAAAGTTCTCCTATATCTCAGGTTAAAAAAAATTTAATTATTTTACTTTACTAAATCAGATATAGCTTGACAGTCTGAAATATTTTAGAAAGTACTCCTACATCTCAGGTTAATTTTTTTTTAATTATTTTACTTTACTAAATCAGATATAGCTTGACAGCCTGAAAAAATGTGTGCCAGATGGGCAGTGGCTACAGATGCCTTCAGCAATCCAGAACATAGATCCTGAAGAAAAAAGACGATATGTTCCCAACAGCCTGGGAACGTGGACTCCTGTCCTGCCCTTGCTTTAATCTGTGACTCTATTTACCTGTTTTTTTTTTTTAGGTAAAACTCTTTTTTAATTAACTATATTCAGAAAGCTGACCTCACAATGTTATTCTTTTTTTTTTCTCACTATTAACAGTACAGGGTGGCAAATCTTGTCTTGAGGCACTGTCCACCCAAACAGTTTTATATAACTGAAAATCAAGTGTACAACTAAAGGAGAAATAAAGTTCAAAGAGCAAATACAGGCTGAAGAGTATGTACAAGAAGAAAACTGAAGCCAATAAATAATCCAATATTTTGAGAGTTTTGAGCAATTCTTTTTTGTTATTGTTTTAAGCACCAGCTGCCAGAGATTATTTCTTCTTTTTTAATTTTTGTTTTTGCAGTTCTGAGGGTTAAACCCATAGCCTCGCAATGCTAGGCAAGTGCTCCACCACTGAGATACATTTCCAGTCCTAAATAATATTTCTTTCATCCAACAATGACCTACTTGTATCACTGTAACCCATCTGGTCCTGGCAGTAGGAAAGGTCCCCAATGCAGACCCTGAAGTGGATATGTCCTTATTTGACAGAACAGAAGATTACAAAATAAATGAATTCAGAAAGTTGGAGGGTAAATGGGGTGCGGTAAAACAAATAACTGATACTAACAATTAGGACAGTTCCCAGATAATAATATAAACCATTGTATCATTCTTTGGTTTGTATATTACTTATTATATAAACATACACAGTCCATCCAATAAGGCAGCCAGTAGTTACATATGGCTATTTAAAATTAAATACAACTTAAAATTCAGGTTTTTGGTCACAATAGCCATATTGCTAAATAACTACATTGGCCAGTAGTTACCACACTGAACAATACGAGTAGGGAACGTTTACATCATTGCTCTATCTGTTGAGTAGAAATGAGGTTAATTTGGTGAAGGAAAGCAATACCAGTTTCCTGCAATATTCAGTAACCACTAGAGCTGTCTACTCCCTTTCCCAGTTGCTCATTTCCTTATGTTCCCATTATATTACACTATTATAATTCTTTTTTAAAATTTTTTTGTTAGTTGTAGATGGATGCAATACCTTTATTTTATTATTTTATTTATTTATGTGATACTGAGAATCGAACCCCAGTGTCCCACTCATGCAAGGCAAGCACGCTACCATGAAGCCAGAATCCCAGCCTCTATAATTATTCTTAACCACATTTTATAACAATAGATAACATTTATTGAGTATTCACTACATTCTATAGAACATTTCACAAACACGTAAAATCATTCTGATTGTTATTTTTGTTGTTGTTATTATTGTTTGTGGAGTTGGGGATCAAACCCAGGGCCTTGCACATGCTAGGCAAGTGCTATACACTCCTAGCCCAGGTAAAATCATTCTTAATCCCAGGTCACACTGTGTCTTTTGTCCTTGATTAGCCACAGTACAGTATCTACACAGAAGAGTATCATTAGATGTTACTTGAATAAATGAAGATGTAAGCTATTATATAAAATATTATATAATAATACATGATTCTTGATTTTCCATTCAGCTTCACTCATCTCTCCATCCACTTCTATAATGGTAAATAACCTTAAAATATTTTTAATATCAGGAAGACTTATTTTCCTATTATTACTTTAGTTTCAAAAGATGTGACTTAGGCAGTTTGATCCCCATTCTCCCATGAACTACCTAATCATTTTGCCAAGTTTGGGCAGAAAAACCTGTTGCCATTGTGTTTGGGATAACATTGAATTTATAGGTTAAGCTGGAAAAAACTAAAATCTTTCATATTGAGTCTTATTTCAGGAATAAATTAATTGAATTATATATATTTTTTCTTCTTTTGGTACTGGAGATTGAACTCTGAGGTGCTTAATCACTGAGACATATCCCCAATCCTTTTTATATTTTTATTTTGAGATAGGGTCTCACTCCGTTGCTTAGGGCCTAAGTTTCTGAGGCTGGCCTTGAACTTGTGATCCTCCTGTCTCAGCCTCCTGAGTCACTGGGATGACAGGTGTGTGCTACCCACTCTGCTCCTTGTTCATTAATTTAAATCTTCTTTATGTTGCTCAGCTTTTTTGTTGTTGATTCCCCCCACCACCTGATTTAACCCCAGGAGTGCTTAACCACTGGGCAACATCCCTATCCCTTTTTATTTTGAGGCAGGGTCTAAGTTGCTTAGGGCCTTGCTAAATTGCTGAAGCTGACCTAGAACTTGCAATCCTCTTGCCTCAAGCTCCCAAATCACTGGGATTACAGGCATGTGCCACCATATCCATCCATATTGCTCAGTTTTGATATAGGTTCTTCCTATTTCTTTGTGTGAGTGTATGTGGTATTGGGGATCAAGCCCAGGGTTTTGTGTATGCTAGGCAAGAGTTCTAGCATTGAACCATACCCCCAAGCCCAAATTGTCCTTGAACTCTAGATCTTCCTGCCTCAGTTTTCTGAGTAGCTGGAATTACAGGCATGTGCCACTTTGCCCAGGTTCATATTTCCTATCAGTTTATTTCTAGTTATTTTATCTATTTGCTATTTGACATCAGAACTTGCTCTAATTTATTACACATATGCACATGGACTGAAATAGCAAATGTTGCTCTTTTTCCTTCTTGGTCTCAATCCACGTGCATCCTATGGTAAAAGGTGATACAAGTCTAACCAACTAGAGAATCATGTTCCTCTGGCCACAGTGATTGATTCAGGAATGGATAACTATCCAAGTTGGGCCAATTAGAGAAAATTCTGTAATTTATGTTAAGAGCAATTGAGAAAAGCTACTATTGTTCTGTTCAACTTTAACTTGGGCAAATGAAGACATGTTGCTCCCATCAGTCATCTTGCTACCACATGGAGCCTGAAAATAAAATCAAAATGATAGAAAGTACAGCTTAGAGTTGGAGAAATACCAGCTTCTGTTGACATCATTTGAAGGTAACTGTGTAGTCCTTACTGTGGAACGTAGCCAATAAATTCTGCTTTGCTAAAGCTAATTTGAGTTGTGCTTCTGGCCACTTAACAACCAAAAAATTCCTAAGTGTACATTAACATAAATGCTACATTTTGGTTTGAGCCAAATTCTGTCCTATCATTGTGGGACATATGGTGGGTCCACAATAATATCTACTGAATTAATTAATGGTCAATATACAAATATTTTAAGATATTTACTTGCATTACTAAGGCTGAGCCGTCATTTCCTCTTCTACTTTTATCTAAGGTAGGTTTGGGTATTGTGTTATGCTACACAAATTTTTCTTCTTTGTGTAATTAGAATGTTCATTCTAAAAAGCATTGTAATACCTCTTTGGTCATTCCAAAATATTCACCGATTTGGTCAATCCCTATGTTTTTGTCCTTGACACTGTCTCTTTTTCATTTTAAGTAAACTTTGTTCATTTATATTTTTCAGTAAGTATTTAGGTTTTCATATATATTTATACAAACATCAAAATCCTCTTAAATTCCTCCATATTAATGATAATTTTCCCTTGTATTTTTAATTTTCAGTGGGATATTTCAAATTAGTTTCAGGTGGTCTGAACAAGGTTACATCTACAAAATAAAATTTGTACCAAGTCAGATATGCAAGTTTACTTAGCAGACATTCTGTTAGGTATGACATTAATATGAAAAGAACTTTAAGTTAAGGATGTTTTTTTTTTTTTTTAAGTTTCTTTTGGAAACAGCTAAGACGAGGAACAAACTGGTACTTCATTGGGGACCTTCGATATCTTTAAACTAATGACTTGGGGGTGGGAGGCCGGCTGGGATTGTGGCTCAGTGGTTGAGCGCTTGCCTAACACGTGCAAGACCCTGGGTTCAATCCTCAGCACCATATAAAAATGGATAGATGATATCGTCCAGTTACAACTAAAAAATAAATGTTAAAAAGCTAGTGACTGCAGGCCTTATTCATTATGCTCATGTCCCACTCTGATCTATGAATCATCACAATAGTCCCTATAGCAATTCACACCATTCACACGGAGTAATTTGGATTAATTTGGATTAAACTGATTAAAGATTTGCCAATAGTTTAGAATTACAGTACAGTATGAATCACAGCAAGAGAAGAAGACATTACTGAGTAATATCTTGGAAAAATACAAAATTAGAAAATAATATCTGCCAAAAGAAAAACCCTTCATTTTACTTTCGCTATCTTCTGGGGTTCAGAAATTTCTTCCAAAATAGGCATATAGGGTAGAACTTCAATCTTGCAACATTAAGTGTTCTTCTGCAGGGAATGGTGGGTATCAGTACATAAATAATTGCCACATGAAACGGAAAAATAAAATAAAAAGGGGGTGTGAAAAAGTGAAAATCGTCCAATGTAGCAGTCCACCCCCTCACAGCTGTAAATTATTCATCAGTCGCTAATGTCATTGTACTGAGCTGGAGCTGAGTCAGCCATCATGCCATGTACAAGGCTCTGTGCTTTAGGCATCAGTACCAGAGGAGAGACTGATACTTTGTAGCAGGAATCCTATCCAGCTTGACTCTGGAACAGTTTGGTTCCAGGTAAATCAATTACTCTCACTAAAAACAAGCAGAGTAATTCCTTCCTTGACAACTTCCGGTAAAAAAAAAAAAAAATCTAGAAAGATAAAGAACAGGAATGTTTATTTTTGTATCTGCCTCACATTCTCTGGAATCTAGCCATTCTAATTCAAATTAATAATATACTTCATTCCTTATTTACCTTATAACAGAACAAACAGCATGAACTAGTAAAAATTCCTTAAAATTGGGGGAGTTGTGTGCTGGAGACATAGCTCAATAGTGGAGCACATGCTTGACATGGGAAAGGTCCTGGGTTCAATCCCCAGCATCAAAAAACAGAGGGGGCTTAGAGTAATAGTTCTCTAATTTTTACAAAAATCTTTTCTTTCAATCCTGTCAAATGTATAGGCCTAATACATTAACAAATACACATTAAGAAATTGAGGCTAATACTATTCCTGGAAAAAAAGACTGTTGACCCATACAATTAAACTACACGTTACATGCCTGTCATTAAGAGCTGGATTCACTGATAGACACAAAGTATAACTAATGAGAAGTTTTGTTACAACTCATTTCTTAAATTTTTATATCTGATTTTTAACTTAGATTTTAAATTTAAATTTTTTAAATGGGTTTTGTTCAAACTCGCACCTCATCCACTTATTGTTGTGTATTCATATTTCTCACTACTTTTCCCATTTATCTACATATTTTTATGACAATCTCCTGTTGTTATAGTTACCTTCCATATACTACTACACTTTTTCAAAATACATTTGTGTTTTCTCTCTTCTCTTTTTATTGATTTATTTGATAAAAATTTTTGCATTTTTTTCTCTACTCTATAATCAACTAGTGGGTAAATGTAATTAGATTTAGTATTTTGCAGATATATTCTGTGGACCATTACACGTGATTTTAGTATTTTTAAACAAATAATGTACAAAGTACTTACCCACACTCCCTTCTGTGCCATCCGTTTCCTTTGGGATATAATGTGCAGAAAGATCACTTTGAAGCACTTCATCTGATGTGGCTCTGGCTAACGCAGCAGCCAAAAATGAAGGGCAATTACTGAAAAGAGAAAAATAAAGACAATTTTCAGTAAAAATTAGGAAATCATACATTGAACATTAATAATTATATTAGTAATAACACCTCAAAATTATACCTTTAAACAATATTCAAGTACTTATTTTTGTGCTATTGGAGACTGAACCCAGGGACACTCTACCACTGAGCTATAACCCTAACCCTTTTTATTTTTCATTTTGAGATAGGGTCTCACACCAAGTTGTCCATACTGGCCTTGACCTTGCAGTCCTCTTGCCTCAGTCTCCCAAGTACTGAGATTACAGGTGATAAGCCACCACACTCAGTCTTACAAATATTTATTGAGGATATATTGTGTGATTAAAAACTCTACTAGGCACTTGGTGTAAACACAGAGATGGCACCTAACCTACTAGGATTTACAATCCAGCTAAGGAGATGATAAAGAACAAATAGGATACAATTAAAATGCAGGAAAAGTTTTATAAAGGAAACAAACAATATAGTGACAGAATAATAAAGGGGGTAGTACCTATGTAGGATGGTCAGGAATGCCATTCCTTCGAAAGATGAAGACTCAGTTATGTGGGAGTGGTAAGTCAGGAGAAAATATTTTAGGCAGAGGGAATAGTATGTGTATAGACCTTTATGAAAACTTGGAACTAAAAGAAACTCAGAAGGAGTTCAAGGAACTGAAAGAAATGAAGGAAATGAAGCATGGTGGGTAAGTACCAAAGCAGAGAATAAAGTTACAGGCTAGGCAAAGGCCAGTTTTGGAGGTTCTCTAGACCATGGTATAGGATTTAGATTTTACTCAAAGTGTAGTGAAAATTCACAGATTTTGAGCAAGAGAACGCCTTAGTCACACATGAATTCAAATATTACTTTGGTTGCTGTGTCAAAGAAAATTAGAAGGAAAGAAGAATGAGTAAGTGTGATTGATAAGAATACAGTTACAAACCAGGTGAGAAAGGGAAATGAATTTACTTTAGAGAAAGATAATATAGAATATGTTGATTATTAATGTAAGAGGAGAAAGGAAAAGAGAAAAGAATTAAAACTTAAGAACTAGATTTTTATCTGAGCAACTAAATGAATGGTATGATCAACTACAAAGAAAGGAAACTAGGAAAATACCAGATTTGTGGAGGAAGCGGGGTAAAGTGGAGGAAGTGGGGTGAAGTAGATAGTAAGAGTTCATTTTAACATGTTTATTTGGAAATATCTGAGATAACTTAGTAAAGATATAAAATGGTTAATTGGGCATTCTAGTATGGTGTTCAGAAATGTTGGTAAGTTTGGAAGTCACAAACATGAATGGTATTGAAAGCTATGTAAACACAATGGATCACATACAGAAAATGTAAAAAGACAACTGTTTTGGATCAGTGACTTCTTTGTGCCTCCTGGTTTCCTCCTTTTGGGATAAGAAGATTATACTATGCTTTAACATTATATAAGGGGTAATGGGGTGGGGGCTGTATTTGCCTCTTTAGTTCATAGGTTTTCAGATGAAAAAGAACCAAAGAGTGCAAAGAAGAAACCATACCCAAAGAATCTCTACCTGCACCTAGGTCTTACCTCAGTGAGATCCTGAAGCTCAGCCTGAGCATGATGCCAGTCATGGGATTAGACTTCAGGAGACCTTAGGGGAGAGGTGGAGTATATTTAACATATGAGAAGAATGTGAACTATGTGGCCAAAAAAGACTTGGCAAATTGTCTTTCTAAAAGAGGTCACAACAATGTCAATGGTCCCAGGATTTTTTGTCCTGTGGTTGTGGAGCTCTAACCCAGGACCTCACAGGCTAGTCAAGTACTCTGCCACTGAACTGCATCCCCAGCCCTCATGCTATTGTAGAACCTTGACATTTCCCGGAAAGAGGTGGAATCTGTTTCCCTCTCTTTACATGGAGGTAAGACTTGATGACTACTTTGATTTTAAAATGTGGCAAAAGTGATGCTTTGTAACTTCTGAATTTTGGTCAAAAAGGCCACATGGCCCCAGGCTTCTTTCTTCCTCTTTCCCTCTAGATGCTTGCTCTTGGAACCTAGCCACCATGTTGTAAGGAAGCCCAAACCAGCATACATGGAGAAACCACACAAACAGACTTATGTGGATATGAACTGAGGGCCCCGCAGCTACAGTCATCATCAGCTGCTTGACATGTAAGTGCACAGGCCTTCAAGTAATATCAGTCCTCAGCCTAAGTCTTTCAGCTGATGCTCCAACCATCATGGATCAGAGTAGGCCAACTCTGTTTTGCCCTGTCTGTAACTCCTGACTGAAAGAAACTGTCATAAAATAAATTATTGCTTTATACCACTAAGTTTTGTGATAATTTGTTACATAAAATAATTGAAAACCCAATATTTAAAAGCTTGGTAGAAGGGGCTGAAGTTGTGGCTCAGTGGTGGAGTACTTGCCTAGCATGAGTAAGGCACTGGGTTTAATTTTCAGCACTACATGTAAATAAATAAAATAAAGGTCCATGGACAACTAAAAATATTAAATTTTAAAAAAAAAGCTTGGTTGAAGATAAGGAACCTATAAAGATTGAAAAGAAACAGCAAGAGAACAAAGAGAGTAGAATATTTGAAAGAGGGAGTAGTCAACAGTTCTGCTAAGAGGTCCAATTCATAAGTGAAAAAAATGAATACTGAATCTAATAACATGTAAATCATCATCAACTTGAATGTCAAAACAATTCAATGGGGAAAGAACCATCTTTGGTGCTTGGAATAACTGGGTATATATATGCAAAAGAATCAAGGTGGACCCTTTCCTTTTACCATATTAAAAAGTTAACTCAAAACACATCGTATGTGCACTGGGAACATAGCTTAATGGTAGAGCTCTTGCTTAACATGTGCAAGTTCTGGGTCTGATCCCCAGAACTGGGGGGAAGGGTGAAAAAGACAAGTAATAACAAGTGTTGGTGACTCGGGGGGAATTGGAACACTCATATATCCCTAAGTGTGAATGTAAAATTATGTAGTTCTTTAAAAATGTAAACATTATACCATATGACCCAACAATTCCATGGGATTAACTTAAAGAGACCTTACAGAGAGGGTGAGTATACATACTTGAGAAATAAAAGCATACTTCATAAAAAAACATGTGCATGAATATACATAACAGTATTATTCATAATAGCTGAAAAGCATAAGTAACCAAGTGCACCACCACCTCAGCTGCAGCCAGTGATTTTTTTTTTAAAAAACATCAGTCCATCAACTGATGTTGGATAAATGAAATGCAGTATATTCATACAATAGAATATTATTCATCCATGAAAAGGAATGGAGCACTTATATGATGTCTTTCCAATATATGGATGAAAACTGAAAACATTGTGAGAAAAGCTATATATTGTAGGATTTTACTTATATGAAAAATCCAAAATAGAAAAATCTAAAGAAATAGTAGCAATAGCTTAGGGCTGGTAGGCAGGAGTGAGGGAGAGCAAGCATGGGGACTTACTACTACTTACTACTACTGCATGAGGTATTTCTTTCTAGAGTGGTAAACATTTTCTAAAACAGATTACAATGATGACTGAACAACTATGAATATATTGAAACCATGGAATTGTACACTTGTATGGGGGGCGGGCAGTATAGGCGATTAAACCAAGGGGAACTTAGCCATATCCCCAGCCCTTTTATTTTTTATTTTGAGACAGGGTTTTGCTAAATTGGCCTTGAACTTTTGATACCCCAAGTCACTGGGATTATAGGCATGTGTCATTGTGCCCAGCTGAATTTACACTTTGGATTACTCATGGTTTTTTGTTTTGTTTTTATTTTTAGTATTGGGGATTGCACACAGGAGTACTCTGCCACCAAGCCACACACTCCTAGCCTTTTTATTTTTGAATAGGATCTCACTATGTTGTCTAGCCTGGCCTCATACTTGCAATCCTCCTGCCTCAGCCTCCCAAGTCATTAGGATTACAGGCTATTATGCCTGGCTCACTGGTGCTTTTTATAAAAATCATTGGCTTAAACTGGAGGTGGTGCTTCGTGCCTGTAATCCCAGCAATTTGGGAGGCTTCAGCAGGAGGACTGAAAGTTCAAGGCCAGCCTCAGCAACTTGGTGAGATCCTGTCTCAAAATAACAAGGGCTAGGGATGTAGCTCAGTGGTAAAGCCCACCTGGATTCAATCCCCAGCACTCTTTGTCCCCAGATCCATTGGCTTTGTCAAAAAAAAAAAAATTCACTGAATAGGAGAGGTGAAAATCAAACTAGAATGAATTGATTTGTGGTAGGACGTAAGGAGGTTTGGCAGAGAGGGGAAACGATATATGGGGTAGTAACTGATAAAGAACATGTAAGACAGGGAAAGGTTGTTGCTCTTATTGTTTTAGCACAGTGTAGAGTCTGACTATATATGAAATGAAATGATCCAAAAGAGAAAAACTGAGAGTCAGGTGTGATGGCACACACCTGTAATGCCAGCACCTCAGGAGGCTGAGCAGGAGGATCCTAATTTCAAGGCCAGCCTGCATAACTTAGTGAGACTGTTTCAAAAATGAAACTTCCCTGAAGTTCCCAAAGAAAATGATACCTTTTGTATAATTAAGCTATCTGGATATAGGTTCACCAAAGGTAAGAATATGAAAAACTTTAGAGAATAAGGCAAGAACCATTAGTCTCATTAATATGTCATTTGCAGTACATTTTTAGTCACAGTTAATGTAATTTTTTACTTTTTGTCAGACAGAATGAAAATATTTTCAGTAAAATAGGGAGGAGGATTAGATGACTAATAGCTAGATATAAAACATCAAGCTAGACACTTCACCCACATCAGCAATTCCTACATGTCAAAAAACTAGTTAGTAAGAATAACTTCTCATAGTTTTGACTCTGAATTGAAAATTATTTCTGAAAAATCAGAATTTCAAATATATTTTTAAAACACGGTCACATCAGAGAATATTTGATACACCTCAAATAAAAGCTTATCACTAATGTTTGCCACTTTAAGAGAATTAACCAGGAATGACTAATAT